AATAGTAAAATGCTGTGGAATTTCTTTGCAAATAAAAATATACTAGCAATTTTTATATTAATGGGTTCATTCAAGTGGGCAAAATATAATGTACAGAAAAGAAAGCCCGTATACACTGAAAAGTAAGCAACCGACAGCCTGTATAAAAGGGGGGCTGTGATTGGCTGTTACTTACGCGAGACTTGAACGGGACTTACATAGGCGTCGGATCAGATGTAGGTAGGGCGGAATTAAAAAAAATCTCAAAATCAAAGTAAAATAATAAAATAAAAGGGCATTAATAACAAATATAATAAAAAATAAAATTAAAATAAGTTTATAGTCAAAATAATTAAAGCCCCTACACTACATCAGATTTTAGTCAGATTGGATATCGGTCTTGACAATCGCTGCCGCAAGTTAACGCGAGTGGGAAAGTCAATCAGTGAGGGCGCAACAATTCACGTCGACCGTGACAGGCAACGTCGCACGCGTCGCTTCTGAACCAAATCTATACTAGCACAAGTAACCTGTTTTCCATAAAATACATTTTTTTGGTGTGTGTGTAAATGATGAAATCCGCGTTACACGCACTAAAAGGCTGTATGAAAGTCTAATATAAACCTTTTTTGTCTTTTCACTTATGTTTCAGCATGTCAAATCGACACAGATTTGGGTGGGGGAACCAGCAGGAGTGTCACGCACATTTACATTAAAGAAACATATCCAAAGCGGTGCAGGAGACGGTAGAATTGAGGCAAAAGTTACGGTGTACGAGACGGGGAAACCATCCACCTCTGAGTACATACACGTACTTAATGAAAACCTCGCGATACAGCACGGCGGAGCCCAGGTTATTGAGACATCTACATTGTATTAAATAGTTTTGTCGTTTGGCATGTTAGTTACTAAAATATCATTATTCATTGAAAGAATTATTTAAAGCAGATATACTATCCTTTTCATAAAGCCATGAACGTTTTTATAGACATTTATAAAACGTTTACCGCGAAAAACCCTCGCATTACATTCAAGAAAGCAGAACAAGTTTGTTTTTTAACTCGATCTGTTACGTGCTTGTTGTACTGAGAAATGTCCGAAAAGTACAGGCTTTTTCTTGACTTTCAGAATGCGCGCAGTTAAGCATCCCTATACTTTATCGTAACTTTGTTTCTCTTCTTTTTTTTCAGCCAGGGCAACCCGATCTTCAAACCAAACAGCGAAAGCGTCTAGTTTCATCCGTGCCAGATCCGAGTCCCGGGTCAGATCGCGAATTCCGAAATAGCCTTCCAGAAATACAACACGCTTACCAAGAGAAATTCGCCAATGTGATGCCATACGAGTTATACGCTGATTTGTGCATTAAACTCGATATCAAACGGTGGACAGACGGTGATGGCCGATATTTGGCAGAAAACTTAGGTTTGTCGGGAGAAGTCATACAATATCTTACACATAACGTTTCCGAACAACCGCGAAGTCTCACTGCGGCTGTACTGGACTTTTTCCTTGTGAACCGACTTCAACGGGGACTGGGGAAAGATGAAATACTCGAGGAACTCAGACATCGATTGCTTGAAATCAAACACGAAGTAGCGGCGGAGTTAGTGGAAAAATATATAACAATTAAACCGACATCTGCCGACTCTGGGAGGGGTAGTAGTCTTAAAACACCTGCGTCACGCGCGGGAACCAAGCCCTAAGCGACGTATTCTCCTTCCCAGAGTTCTTTGCACATAGAACTCTGCGTGGGAGATTGCTAACCATGTTCTAACTAACTTCTCTCAATTTATACAGAAAATATAAGTCGTGAATCCGGCGATCTGATTGGTGGAGGGCGCCATAGCCATGTTAGAAGCGACGGCAACAACGCACGCTAAAAAGGCTTCTCGGTAGACGCTTGTTTGTAAACAACGACCCGCTATCATCATGGGCGTCCGTCACATGCGCAGACGCCGACTTCTCCGCTTTTAGCTTGGTAGCTGTCGACCCACATATTGAGTTTTGTCTTTTGACATGTCAGTTACTTAAATTTGCGCCACTTTAATCGTCTAAGTTGGAGATCGTGTTATCGCCATAGAAAGAATTTCGATCCAAGAGTGAAGAGAAGACGTCATTTCTGTTTGGTGTATCCGTTACGGTCAGGAAGACGACGTGAGATCGTGACCTATCTCTCTCTCCCGGTACTGCTTTGTGGTGTGACTTAAAGTTTTGTGTCTAATATTGAGAAAGCGGAAGAACCTTTGACATGGTATGAATCATATTTGACCTAGGTCTGCCCCACAGTCAGCTGGCGCACACGTGATAATAAAATAAATGCGATATTTACTATATGGAGGCGCCTTCTTAATTGTGGCATAAAACTAAATACTAGACAAGTTGTGAAACGCGTTTTTCAGATTCCTACAAATCAGGACAAAAATTACAATCTTTCACACAAATACGATCCGTTGGGGGTAATATTAAAGCCAAATCTGATAACAAAATTCGGCCCAATTCGTTACGTTTTTGTGTGGAAA